CAAAAGCAACACTTGATATGAAAGCTTAAAGTTTACCTTGCCAGTATAAAAAAATTTTAAGATACTTTCAACTGCTTACGATTAAACTCGAACATAAAAAAACGTTTTATAGCATAGCTTAAGGAGCTAACTAGAAGTCTAAAACGTTTGCAAATGTCGTGTTTTGGTCTTAAGTCTTTTGTTACTTTGCCTTAAATTTGTATTAGTAAATGCAAAATAAATATTTTTTTTTACTAAGCTTAGATCAAATGTTTATAGGTCTCCTGAGCTAGGAATATTTTCGTTAAAAGCAGAATGTTGCTTAACAACAATTAAGAAAACAATAAAAAGAGAACAGTCAAATTAGTTACATGGATGTAAGCGAAAAATTCTTGCTTAGTGTTAGCCATGGGAAATTATCATCTAAGTTTTCATCTAAGCCGACATACACATGCGTGCATTTTGCGTTTTAAAAATAACTACTTTTGTAGACAACAACAACAAATTTAACAAATGATGCCTAAGATATGCTATCACTCATACTCTACCATACGCCACTTATGATGGATGGCATATTTGTAAAAATTTGTATACCCATCGATTCGGAATTGTTTCCCGAATTGATTTAAACTTTTGTTTGCCCGTCTGACATCTGTATTGTGTGTGTATTTGGGTTCAATCGCATTACAGAACGACGAGTCGCGGTAGTGCGCTGTGCGGCGTGCAGGTACCCGCCTTCATGTGTCACAATCATCATCTGTTAAAAGAATTCGAGCTAAAGGACTGCACAGACTTACGAAAACTTTCAATCGAAAGAGCTGCTTATATATATATTGTTTTAGAATATCCAGACATTCTTTCCGGTTAAAGACGCCCCCCTTTAGGTGACTTTTTGAAAGTGCAATTGTTGGAAAAAAGAATAATGGAGTACCAGATTTGTGTTTCAAACATATTGTGATCATGACTTTAGTCGAGAGAGAAAGATGGATATTGAGAAAATGTACGTTGCATGGCTATTTTCTTGATTTGCATTTGCTTTGCCTTAGAAGCGGGTACAATGGATGAATAAAAACGTATATATATATATTATGTTGTGCGCTTTTGTCGCCATTCTCCTTCCGTTAGGCATAACTTTCTTCCAAGTAAATATGTACATGTAAAATAAAACAGGTTGTGTCCAAAGTTTGGCTGCAATGGCTCTTAAAGCTGGCATTTGTAAAGTAAACACAAGCGTGAAAAAAAGAAAAAAAATGTCATTTAAACGTTAATCAGCATTCGCGTTGGGACAAATGTATGCATATTATTGAACTTCATTTGAAGTTTAAACCTTATACAAACGCACACAACGTACACAACGCACTCTTAAGCTAAACTTAAAGTTGAATAACCATCAGAAAACAGAAACAGATATTAACGGCAACCATTACATGGTATCTTTATTTGTTTATAGTAATTATTTACTTTTTTGAAAAAACAACGTGCGTTTGCTTATGAGTGAAAAACCCATGCATCAGCAAATAATGATAAATTTATAATAATAACTACTATACTTTGAAAAAGTATGAGTCTTTTGCAAAAAAAAATGTTTATACATTATCCGTTTTTCGAACTTATATATAATAATAATAATAATAATAATAACATATATATGTTTGATGGTACGCACTTGCAAATGAATGATTTATTACAAATATATCTACATATAAATAAATGTCTTATTAGTATTATAAATCAACATGATCACGATAATCAGAATAATTTTACTTCATAACCTCACGTAATGCTAAACATATATAACTGATTATCACTTTAATAGATTGGGTTTACTCTTTACTTTTTAACTTTCACGACAACTTTTCTACAAATCGAGCAGAATTTTAGAGTAAAATAAATACTTGCTGACATGTAGCATAGCAAAGCGCTTTCGAAACTTGGAAATAAATCGCGTACGCAAAGCCGACGCATCAATATATAAAATATATTGATGTGTTAAGGGGAAGAAGAACCTTTGAGAAAGGGGTTATAATTAATTTGTAATATTTTTGAAAGTTATGAGAGAAACTACAAGTCACCTTAAAGCAAATGAGAACGTTAAATTCGGACAAAGCCGATCATTAGATATGTTACATCACTTCGCATACGACATACAGTTATTCACTTGTATATCAAAAATATCTACATTATTTTCATGTGAAAGCATACTTTCGATGAAAAACCGCTAATTGGAGGATGTCCAAAACATCACATGGCGTGATCCGAATTTAGAAAACTTAATTAGCTTCCCAAAAATGTTACTATTTTTCAATTTCCGTAATAAAATGAGAAATAGAAATTAGACTTTCTCTCCTTGTAAGCGCTTGCGTCTCACGTTAACGCCTACATATGTGTATTGCGGTCTAAGATATAGACCTAAGTGATTCAAATTCTTTACCGTTATTTGTTTGTTAAGGTAAGGTACTACTGTTGGCCAATTTTCATTATAACATATTAAAAGTTAAATTTTTTTTGTTAACGCCTCTTGACAAATTCATCATAAATCTTAGTATAGAGTGGAGTGGGATTCGAAAAATAGAACTATGCGATGCAAATATGGTCTAACTAATTTTTATGCCAAATTATTATGATGAACAAATTTTCGTGATAAGACATTAACAATTTGGCCTTTTTCGGCATGTAAGGATCTACATTTCATGATATGTGATATGTGGTATTCAAAAAATAAACCTACGTGATCCAAGTTCGCCAAGCTTGACGTCTTTGTCAATTTACTAATACGAACCAATTTTTACCATGAAATACACCTTTTCACTATAAAAAGATTTCAATTGTCGTAAGAACGATTATATGAGAGAGAGTAACAAAAATTATCCCAACGGAATCAAATTTTTCCTACCAATCTACAATGTCGAAGTATTATTGCTTAGCGACTTTCGTCGAAATATGTTGAAAATTATGATATAACGACTTTTTAATATCAGGCATTACATGTGGCAATAGTCGAAAGAGTAAACATCGATCAAACACTCATACGCAATCGTAGTCTCGTTACGCTTGATCGAGAACGAGAACGACTAATCCAAATTAAAAATTCGTTGCCGGCTTAACTCGATAAGTAGCAGCGTAAATCGACCCCAGCAATTGGTCCCAGCATTTTTGGCTGTATCTATACATATATATATATATATATATCTATATAGTTAATCTAAAAGTTATTGATGTTCATAAACTCTTAAATTAATACCTTAATGTTTAATGACTGCGGTTTAATAATTGCTGCTTACGACTAATTGAGATTATGAGAGATTAAGTTGCATGGCTTTATGTGGCTTAGCTGCAGATTGGCATAGGGACAAAATCGATTATCTCCTCGATTATCTCATGCGGCGCTGAGGACGATAACCCGATTCGCTTGAAGATGCCTCACTTACGTGGAAGCTGCTTCTGAAACATAAAAATTAAGTGTGATTACCATGGCGTAGAACATCAGCTCCCATTGACTTTGTCTGTATGAACGCTTTATATGAACCTGTGTAATGCTGGTACAGATTATTGTATGTAATCTATTCTGCTTAATATGTTTTTATATAAATTTTCCAGTTCTTTTTAACATTTTTTTTTAATGCGCTAGATAATATTGTAATGATCTAGAATTGCATTGAACACATTGCAGAGGATGATTAGCACTCGGACCCCGGACATATTGCGCAGAAATATCTAACGTAAAATAGACAAGAACATAGTTCTCTTCAATTTTTCCTTCTTTTAATGGTAACCTAATCCCTCTGATGTCGCAACTTGGAAAGCCAATTAGTCGACTATATGATTCTAAGATCAAGTTGAACATTCAACTGACGAAAGCTACTATTTCTTGCCTTATATCACTTCAAATATTGAAAACAAATCATTAACATAAAATTAAAAACTTCATCACAAAAAAATTTAGTTGAGTTACCTTAGTTTTTCAATATGTGTGAACATAGTAGACTAAAGGTTTAATTAAAGGTTCAAGGTTGACTGTATTGACTAACAGATTATTAATATTATATATATGTGAATATACATATACATATTTATTTTTTTTGAAAATTATTCATATGAAAGGTACTTTCTAATAAAAGAAGAAAAAAAGTCTATGACTTATGATAAAAGCCTCCAGTTCATTGTACTGAAATCACTAAGCAACTGAACCAACTTTCATAAAAAAAAAGCAAAAGTTTTTTAATATTAATTTTTTTATATATCATACATATATATATATATATATATATTTTAGTTTTTATTTTTATTAGTTATAGGAGTTATTACAATATATAACTTTAAGGAATTATATTATATAACCATTATCTACAGCAATGCTTTACATAAAAAAAAAAAGGAAAAAAAAATGATAAAAAAAAATTTGTTACTAATATTACAAAACAAAATTAGTTATGCAAATAGTCACAAGGAAAGAGAAAATTAAATAATTAACATATGTTCTGAACGAGCTTATGCAAGAAGTTAATGAAATGGAAAATTATTAATTATATATATATACACATATACATATATATATATATATAATGAGTATATAGAAAATGAGTTAAAAAAAAAATAGGAAATAAATTTTAGCAAGACGTAAGAGGCTATAAGAGGGAGAATATTCAGAATAACAACAACAACAAGAGCTTATCACAGAAAAAATAAAGTCATTTGAAAGTAATCAAGAAAACAAATTCATAAATACTACATAAAGTAATCCAAGCTAAAATATTAAATTAATTTATTTCTCTTTTAATAAACACGGATAGTTTTATAACTAATGCAAGCATTGCTTTAAGACAATGACTTTCTAATGTTTTTCTTATTCCTCTGGTAGTTTTATTTCATTTACTATTTGGCCTCGGATTTGATAGCAGCGTTACAATATATGCCTCTCGCTAATATCCCTTATTTTTTTATCTCTAAATTAAACGAAATACTTTTTTCGTAGATGTTAATAAAAATTATTGATTAAGAAAATAAAAAATTTTTTGTTTTGCTTTTTTTTTTTTTTTTTTTTTTCCCTTGTTTTAAGAAAAAAAAAAAAAAAAATTCCAAATTCACTAGCTTCACGATTTCATGTTTATGGAATGGCTATCAAGTCATTTTTTTTTTTTTTTTTTTTTTTTTTTTTTTTTTTTTGTTGGTTTACTAATCGTTTAGATTGTCCCCTAACGAATCTAATGATGATATTCGTGTTCTTCATGACCGTGCACGGGAGCAGTCTTATGTACAACAGCATTAAAACCGTTATGTTTATCGGCGGTGTAGTCAACTGTACGTATAGAACCGTCCGGCTCAACCAACGAATATTGACCTGAAATTACATAAAAAGCAAGCAAAACGAAACAATTAGCAACTGTAACGATAAAAGTAAAAACTTTTGTATTAAATTTTAAATAATAATTAATAAAATAATTGGCAAAAAATCGCAAAAATTACTTATTACATACGAGTATTGTTAAAATATTATGAAATCATATTTAATATCATGGATCATTGCACAATTGTTGCAATTATGTCTCACCTACTTTCTGCAATTGCTCGAGACACTCTCTAATTACTTCACACATTGTGTGAATTTTGCAAAATTTTGTACGACCGTGATAGATAGTTTCTTAACTAAGTTTTGATACGCAAGAGAGGAAGGATGGTAGAAAAGGTACATCATCTACAGGAACTGATGTCGCTACTAATAGTACCTTTCTGTAGTCGTGGGCGATCATCTTGGATATCTCTTGCGCCGATTATCGCCAATATATGGGAACGAAGCAATATCTTGTTGTAGGCAAACTCCTACAGAAGACGCTACATATCCGATGTGGCCATGAAACAAACTAGCACTAAGCATGTCACTAAGCCGTCTCTTTGTTCCTTACAGTCACTTAAGTAAGCTTTACATATCTACCCAATTGATTAGAGAATAGACAATGATATGAACTGGCCGTTCGAGAATTTAAAGTTACCTAAAAAAAACAATTAAGTAAGTATTTTACAACATACGCTAACACTTTGCGCACATACATTCATCGTGCTGATAAAACGCCTGTGTGCATTAAACTACCTTGTCGTCCCGTTAACTAGAGCTTTAAAATGAACAAACGAACAAGAGCCAATTAAAATTGTTCAAGGTACTAGGGTAATGAGATGTGAATAAAAAAACAAATTAGATCGCGTACCCACTTAACGGTAAAGTAAGTGCATTTGTGCGCTGAAGCCAGGCTAAAGTTATCTCATTGAGTTTCCATTAACGAGGTGACAATTAGAATCACTATGAACCGGGGACCGAAAACGTTATAATACTCAAATTGGTTGATATTCCGGTGAATTATAAATCTCTACATCATCTACATTATAGAAAAAAAGAAAAGCAACAAATTCTTACACCTATTATCGGGGAATGGTCATTCGAATTGCAGCAGAAAGAAACTAGCGCCAGCATGACCGCCAACTTGATCGGTGTAAGATTTTAACTTGATTCCGGTATGCATGTCTTCTCGTTCGATGTCTTTTCTTAAAATTTTCATGACCGCACTTGCTTGCCATATCTTTTCAAAGTTAACACAAAAACAAACAGTTTTGTAGTTCTCATGATCAGCTCATAAGCAATGCCCTCGAAAGCTAAAAAATTTGATTGTCCATGACTTGTCAAGTATATGAAATTTTAAACTGAGTGCAGATATTTAACGGGATCGTTGGAAAATTTAACGCGAAAACCGCTTCTCTAGGATAACCAACGTAACGCACGTAATGGACATAATGGTTGAATACCCATCACAGGAACTCCATTAAAATTCATCAACTGTTCATAAAAAAAATACACTTTAAAAAGTCCACGAAGCTTACAAGTCCCAACAAAATCAAGATGAAGAATGCCTTTATAATATTATAAACTTCTCGATTAGAATACGGCCCTTAATGCATGGTTGCAAGACGAGTTTTGTTTTTGCAACTTAGGCTACAAGTATAACTTTTTCTATCGATATTTGGTTGATATTAATGCAATAGTAAAAATCACTTCTGTCAATTTTATTGAAAATTTTAGTTGACATTGGCTACTGTCTGTGATGTTATTATTACTTATCGCTAATTTTGATATGTCGTCAATGTGTTAAAAAATACATTTTGATGGCCATTTCGAAAAACTTTAAATACATGTTCAGCCTTCCTATAACCTACAGCACTAGTGGCAAGGGTATATAAAGTTCGAAGTACGAATAGTTGATATAGACCCCCTCCCACAGCCACGCCTGTCTGTTGTATTTTGGCATACTATTTACTACTACTACTACTACTTCTCTTTAGATGTAGAAAATTTTAATAGTTTGGGATAAGTTTTTGAAAACTCTCTCACATAAAACAAGTCTTTATATGGCAACAAAGTCTAACTTTTAGTGTTTTGTGATTAAAACCGACCCGGAATACCGCTTTGATATGCAAGTTTAAAGACCCGTATTAGGCAAATGATAATGTGAAATATTTCATAGTCGCCCTGGGCCAACCGTGGCGTTTTGCATTGGTTGTTATAAAAATTCGCCTATAACTTTGGAAGCTTGTTCATCATCGCGCATTATATTAATATCTATCGATGCGATGTGCAAGTGCACATGCAATTGAATTATAATTTCATTTGAGGCAATGCTGCCAAGAAATTCATCGAAACATTGTTATTATAAGTAAGTGCTTAAGATGAGAGGCATTAAAGAATCGCTCCCACCAATATATGTAGGTGTTTTTTTTGTCTTTTTTTCGCTCATTACTGTAACATTCTAACAAGACAATCTGTTCTTTGTATGCATTGAATTTCATTGCCACTGTCATTGACACTGTCAATAAAAACTTTTCCGCGGAAGTTATTGCTGTCATAAGAGAAACATTTACGGAGGATTGCATTTTTAATAATTCAATCTTTTAGAGAAGTGATTGTGATTGATATAAAAATATAGAGATGGCGTCGAAAAAGTATTAAATAAGTCCTGAATATAATTTTGCATTTTCCATTTAGGGATCGTTGCAATAGCCTTAAAAAAAAAAAAAAAAAAAAACAAAAATACATAGATCTATTTAACTTTTTAAGTTTCGATACTAGTGCAGAGTAAATAAAGGCGATATAGCGTAATTTTTCATTGAAGACTGGGAAGATGTATTTTGGTGAATTCAGTAAATCTATGATAAGATTAGAATTCCACTTGAGAGATATTAAATATTCAGATACGATTGTATATAGCCGTGCTTGGCTTTACTTACTTTTTATTTAACACTCATTGCGCTTACTCACCTTTCACGCTATCACCTTCACGTGTTTCGTGCTGGGACTTTACATCACCAGTATGAAAATCGTTAACACCATATTTAAAAGCGTATTTCGGTGGTGCCTAAAATGTATACACACAGACACATATTATGAGATATCATTATAAAAGACAGATCGCGCTAAGCTCCATCAAGATATTTATATATAGATTTAAGAAAGAAAGGTAATAAGAATATGAATACAAATCATCATACATAATAGTCCACATGTTCATCTTCGTAGTGCTCCTCGTGTCCGCCGCCATGTCCTTCTGAGAGGGCAATTTCATGACCGTGCCCAGCAGAAGCTATTTCGTAACCCCCTTCATGACCGCCCTCATAATAATGATGCTCAAGACCGGGATAGGCCAAAGTTAAAGACAACATGGAGACCAAAACTATAAACTGAAATAAAACAACGTATAGAAAACGTTGTTGTTATTGACAAATTGTTATTGACAAAATGCAATTTGAAATCTATTTTTTTTTTTTCAATATTTACTCAAATCACTTCAATTATTATTTGCTTATTTTTCAATTTAGATGCAGATAGTTTTGTGTTTTTTGAAAAGTAATTCTTTAAAAGTTAATGATAAAAACTTTTCGACTTGTGTTTGATTTTTCAAGAGATTATTTTATACCGTACGCTGTGCAACGATAGGCAGGCAGTTCTTTTAAATATTTACATATATACAAAATTTATTTTATTATCATATAATTTGTTTAAATAAATTATTTAAGTTCTCTTGCTCTATAATCACTTTTACATATATATATATATATATATATATATATATATATTTTTTTTATCTTTCATATATTTTAAAGCATTGAAAGCAATCTGTCCTTGTTTTTGTTTTTTTTTTTTTTTTTTTTTTTTTATGAAGACAAAACAATTAAAATGGATAAGATCGTTTCTTAGATGACGATTGTTTTTGCCAAATAATGTTAGAACGATCTTCACATCACATTTTTCGTTATTGTTATGTTGTTCGTTTATGACACTTTGTTTTTATATGCATGCATTATATGTTTTCAATGTTTCCAGATTTTTTGCTTTTGATATATATTTTATATATATATATATGTACATATATATACATATATATATGTACATTTATATGTACATATATATACATATATATATATATATATATATATATATTTTATTTATTTTTTTTTTCTTTAATTGTTTGTTTTTAAATTATCGACCAAATGTTCAATTTAATTTTTATGTAAATCATATTACATTATATAAGATAAATTATCTCTATGTACTCCTTCTTCTTGTTCTTAAGCTGCACGTTTTGTGTGCTCTCATCTTTCCATCATATTTTCTGTTTAGTTGTAAAATTTGTAATCCTTTTTTTTTTTTTTCTGTTCGTTTTTTTGAATGCCTAACTCACCTTAAGATCCATTTCACTATTATTTTTTATTTTATGGTATAAAAAAAAAAAAATGATTTCGACTTAAAAACCACAAATAAAAATTGTTGTTGTTTAAGGAGATCAAAATATTAAGCTGATCCAAGAAACGTTGTTAACCAAATGACTTTCCACCGCGGAATAATATGATTGCTGCTGAAATTTGCTGCTTTTATATTGTTAGGAAGAAAGTGTTTAGCTTTAGTGTGTTTTTATTTTTGTTTACTATTTTTTTTTTTTTTTGTTGTTGTTTTTTTTCGGTTTGTTTGGAAAAATCAGCCAAAGTCAATACACCAGATGGAGCACCATTGAATTGGTAACAGTATTACTATTACTAGTATTAGTAGTAACAACAACAAATAATAGTAATAGTAGTAGTTAGTTAGTAATAGTATGAAAACCAACAATAATATAGCAACATTAAATCAACGAAAAAACATTGGTAACAACAAATGTTTTTTGTTTTTTTTTTTTCGTTTTTTTTTATTATTATTATTATTATTATTATTATTATTATTATCGACAAGTCGAACATACACACAACTGCAACACATTTACAATTAAAGAGTTGGAATAAAAATGCAGCACATATCACCGATGTTAAAATACCAACTATTGCTGGTGCTTGCAAAAAAAAAAAATAAATAAATAAATAAACAAACACTCTTGCAAAGTTTATGACTAATATTATTTATAAGAGAGCTACAGCAAGCAATAGAAAGGAAGATACATTTGTACTGCTACCGCTATTGTACTACATATACAAACATGCAAATACAAATATGCATATATATATATATATATATATATACATATATATATATTTATAGGTATGTATAAATAAAAACTGTATACATAAATACTTTAGATATGCAAGTGTAAAAAAAAAGAGAAAAAAAAAAAAAAGAGTTTTATTACTATTGTTTTTGTTTTGTACTGTGTGTTTTTTTTTTATTTTTTTTTTTTTACTTTTTTGGTTACTTTCATCTACAAAGTAATCAGCATATGGGTAATTAGAGTGTAACTGCATGTGTTGTACGACGAATCACTTCAGTGACTATCTCTGCGTTTTTAGGTACAATTATTTGTCAGCATATTCTCTTCCTCTCTCTCCTTCTCTCTCTCAGCCACGATCTTCCCATTATCCTTCTCTGAATATCACTATTCCCCCTTTTTGCCAAAATAGACTCAATGACATAAATAAAAGTAAAGTTCAAAGCGTTGGTCCGTTGAGAGTTGAAAGGCAGATATAACCAAATTTATCCCATTGCTCGTGTAGAATTAATGAACAGCAATTAAAAGTTAACCTAAGTTAAGTAAGGAAAAGAGAAAGTCGGCTCATAAATATGAAATATTATTTTAAAATAAGAGACTCATCCTAAATGCTTTTTATTTATTTCATTTATTCGATAAAAATGTTAGTTAAATCTCAAGCAACCCATTTGCAAAAAAACCAAAAAAATCGAACGATCTCTGTCATCATTTATTAATGTGACACTTAACATTTTTCTTAGTACTAGCATCCGCATCTAACAGTGATGATATACAAGGCTAGGAGTCCAGATCCAAGATCCAATTCCGGGCGGATCTCCTTAAATGTACCCATTAGCGAACGACGGCCGCCACGATTCAATCGCTTAAAGAGACGTTTTTAATCTTAGATTATCCAAAATCGAAATAACTTGCATTTTAGTCCATAATTGAGCTGTTAAGCGTCGAAGATCGTTGAAATTTATTACAAAAAATCGTTTGTTTCGTCCCTAAACGGGATTATCAATTTAATGGCATTAAAATAATTAATGCGGTCGTTGTAAATAAATAAAACCTTTCATTTGCACGAAAAATGTCACATTTTATCACGGAAAAATTATATCGTACCTGGTGTCACTAATATTGGATTAACCTATAAAACATATGAAATTTTCTTTCTTTTTCAGAAATTTTGCAAATTTTTATTACTTAATGGCAATGGCAAGGCAAGTTCGGTCTTCGTCGTCCTATTAATCGCATTATGTAAAAATATTAGTATAAAGCTAAAGAATTTGGAATTCATATCTACATACATTAGACGCCTATTGGTCCATTCATATAGGTTTAAACTAAACAAAAAAAAAACTAGGAATTCATTTAGAAGAAGTGAAGAAATTATTTAATATTGATCCCGATATCAATCAAATATTTACAAAATCTAAAATCACTTTTTGGTGGTACGTACGCATTCTCGACCGGGACCAAATATATATTTGCATTTTAGATAATACCACGATATCTGCTATGAATTGCAAAGTCGAATTTTTACCTATTATAGGTAGCTGACACCTATTATCGTCCTATCCATCTATTCACCTATTAAAAGTTAATTGTTACTATCATGGGCCTTCCAACAATAGATAACCGGTAGAAAGGTCATTGAACGGGCATAACTGAATTGACTTGGGAGCTAATGATGAATATATATTGATGCTTATTTACCTGGCAGCGCTCACCTGATTTTCTCAAACGAACTTATGCTTAAAAGGTGAAATTTCAACTTACATATTTTGTGAAGATAGTTTTCTAATTCTTCGCTCATGTGAAAAGTTATATGGATCCGAAACTGGGTAAAATATCTAAAGAAATACGTTATGTAATGTTTTTTTACTATAAAAAATGTAAAAGCACTGCAAAAACATGGCGAAAAATGTGTGAAATGCACGATGTGAATCCTGGAAGTGAACGAAGTGAAAACGCCGATAAAATTTGGCAACTGGTGCAGCAAGATCGACATGCAAGCTGTCACGAAATAACGGAACAACAACCGCATGACAATTTAGAAACATTTGAAAAGAACAGATTACAAAAAGAAATTCGATGTTAAGGTGCCACATGAATTACGAGGATGCCACTGAAATACGAGAATATCAAAAGCCAGCGATCACGTTCAAAAGCTGGTTACCCCCTCCACAAACGACTTCAAAGCCTGAATTGTCGGCAAACACGATTATGTTGAATGTTTGGTCGGACTGGAAGGGAGTTATCCATGATGAGCTGCTGCAACTTGCTGCTGGCGAAACCATCAAATCCTGAAAGAGCGACCAAAATTGGATAACAGAAAGAGAGTTGTGTTCCCCATCATGACAATGCGCGGCCATACACACTCTTGATGAGTCGAAACAAATTGACTGAACTTGGTTGAGAAATTTTTGATTTAGGCTGAATTGTTTCGGTCTCTAACTCTCTCTCTCTTGATGTTATAAAATTTTCCTACCGAAGCGCCGCTAAAAATCACTTGACCAAGTCACAGAAGCTCTACACCGATGGAATTATGAAACTACCCGAATAACGGCAAAACGTCATGGATAATAATGATCAATATATATTCGATTAAAATTGATTTTCAATAAAAAAAATTTTTGTTGGCATATCGTTGCAGATGTGCGCCTACTTGAAGTGCGTCACGAATCAAAATAGTAAGCAAAATTTACTAACCAAATAAAACAACCTAGTATGATCCACTTCGAAACGCTTCGAATTGCATTACCCAATAATGCAACTTGTGAACAAATGTAAAGAATGCAATTCGAAGCTAAGCGCCCCCTTTTACAATTATGCTGACAATAGGATTAAGTAACTTGTCTATAAACCAAAGTGAAAAACTATCAGACAAGCCAGAAAATTGATGTAAATAAGAGATGATAAATAAAGAAAGAATGATTCGAGCTACAGAATCAACTGCAGTGTTTGATTCGCTTTATTCTAGCCAGGTACTCCTGAAGAAGCAGAATGAAGATTTGGCATTCTGAAGCCTAACAATTAGGTTACACTCGTACACTCAGCAATCCTGTGTATTCTCTATAAGAGGAGACTTGGCGAACATATATTGACTCCATATAGCTACTATTAACATTTTTATAAAAAGTTCATATTATATATATTTATATATATATATATATATAACGGACGTTAAAAATAGGAGAGGTAGATGGAGCTTACCTTTTACAAATCTAAAAATTTTACCTGGTTGCACTTAAATATGGGGAAATCGGGGGAAATCTTCTAAATGGCATTTAGTAATTTCTCCATTATTGTAGAACACCTCGAACGATATATCGCTTTTAACATTCTCAAAAAGGAAAATATTGGCATTTAAATCGGTCATAAATATTGAAAGTGATAGCACTCAGGAAGCAATCCATGCTATAGTATAGCGTTGTCTTTTACCCGATATGGAACATTGTCAAAACCAACCTGCGGGCAAAAACTTTGATTAGGCGGATTCCGAATTTGATGCTGGTTAAGAGTGTACATATATACTTTATTGAATCTTTGAAGCTTCTTTCCGGCCGTCAAAAAAATTGCAATAAAAAATTTAATCTTGGTACGCAATAACATTGGATGGGCGTGAACAATTTTTTGTATATTTATGGATTCAGTGTCGTTCAAATTTTTATAGGTTAATCTACTGTTCTGTCTCTGAGTAATGCGACGAAAACCGTAAATTTGTTTTTTTTTTTTTTTGCTTTTGCAAGCAGATGTACTTTCATTTTACGTGCTAATATCGATATGTCCGTCGATCGATGTGGCCCGTCTGCAATATCGATCTGTCGATAGCTTCATTTATCCGACTAGTGGAATGTGCCCCACAAAGATCATGCAGATCGACATGCAAACGGACATGCTTTAAATCGATTCATGCTGAATGTGACGGTCGATGTACAACACGCTCAAGTTTGTTACAAAAATTAAAATACGTGTAAAAGCAAATAATTTTCATTCGGAAATTCGGAATCAATGGCGCGGCGCATATCATCAAATTTGTTTGAAATGTTCATCAAGATTATGTCAATTTTTTTTTTTGTAAAACCATTACTTACTGATTAATTGCCACATTGAAGAAGTCAAGTGAAACCGTTCTAAAGAAGTATATCAAGTAATTATATAGCGGCTGATAGGAACGTATGCACACCATAACAAAATGAATTTCTACTATTTCATTGAAATGATGATTATAATCTGAAAGTTTTATCAAAATTGCTGCGTTTGCAGATGAGATTAGTTTTACCTATGCGAATAGCCATCAATTTTCATTGTGATTTCGAACCGATTATCTTTTATATTTTAATTTACTCCGCAAGTATATGATGTTAACATGTACATATGTATAGA